TTATTATTAATTTATTTATTTTTTTATTTATATATGATTATTATGATTAAATCTTTCAATATCTTTTATGTATAAGCTTCAATATAAAAGATTTAAATATTCAAGTAATAATAATTACGACAAAAAATTAATATTTTATTAATTATAAAAATTTTTATTTTTAGACCATCAGGAACTGAAGATGTAGTACGAATATATGCAGAATGTGAAAATTTATATGATCTTAATAAATTAATTATTGATGTGGCATCATTAGTATATAAACATGCAGGTGGGGTTGGACCTAAACCTCAACTTTAATAATAAATAATTTTATATTGTTTACAATATAAAAATAACATTTGTATTAACATTTAATTTTTATATATAATAACTATAATTTTTATAAATTTACAGAATCTTTACAAAAATATCTTTTATTAATTTATTAAAAATTATTATATTTTTTATAAAGAAATATCATATAATAAATAATGAATATTCATAAAGTACAAATATGAAAGATTATATATACTATATATAAAAAATATATGTATATAAAAACCAATTAGTTATTTTTTATTTTTTTTTCATATTCTTATTAATGTAATAAAATATAATATACAATCATATATTAATACTTACATAATAATGTAATTTTTTACTTTTATATTTCTATTGCAAAAATAAATATTTTTATTACTAATTTTATTGTAGAGTTTCTGTGTAATACAATAATATATTAATATGTATTAAAAAATAATATAACTAATATGTAATATATTATATATTTTTAATATAAATAAATTAAAATAATAAATCAATTGTTATAAAAATTATTATCTATGAATAATATAATTTTATTTTGGAAAAAAATTCACGAAATGTTAAAAAAAAAATTTAAAAATTAATAAATGGATATATGAATATTTTATAATTATAAATATGATTAATAATTGAATAAGTATTGAAAACATTATAGATAAGTATCTATTTAAATTAATAAAAATATATAAAAATATAATAATTTATTGAAAATTTGAAAGATTCTGTTGCATAAATAAGATTATATGAATAAATATGTTATTCTTTTTAGAGAACAAAGAAAAAAAATCCTCTAAATTCAATATTATTTAAGATTTTTCTCATTTTAATTCTGTCATGAATCAAATCCTATTTTGTATGTATATACTGTATTAATATATTCGTAGAACATTTTAGGAAAATTGATTTTAGATACTGAAATAAATATAAAAATTGAATTTAAAAATACCGATTGAATGCTTATCTTTTAAATTAATTTAAATTAATTATCTATTAAATTATGATCAATTAATGTTTGAGTTTGAGAAATCAGACAAAAATAGAATAAAATAATTTTATAATTCTCTGTCATTATCTTCTTGTTCCATCTCAATTTCGATTTAAATAACTTAAATTGTTAATAATTTAATAATATATAAATAATAAAAAATCTCAATTGATATTTTTATATACCAACTTTTTGTTTATTCTAATTTCTAGAAATTATTAAATATTAAATATAAAAATATTATTTGTTAACACATATTGAAAATTTATAGATATAAACAATCTAGAAAAACTTTCTTTCTATTTAAATTTTATTTATTCAATCATATGCAAAGCATACATAATAATAAACATTAATACATTAATCGAATATGATTATATCAAAATTTATTTATACGTATTTTATTAATTTCGAATGCTACTTTTATGTAATAAATATTTTTAATTATTTTTAAGAATCATTTTTCTTATTAGAAATATTTTTCTCATATCTGTTTAAAAATATTTTGTTTTAACGATCTTACGTAAATTTTCTCTAAATTAAAAAGTTAAATTTAAATTAAAAAAAAAAAATTTTTAAATAAAAATTGATTCTTTATATTTAAAAAGTAAAATCATTTCTTCAATTAAAAATAATATAATAATTTATTATAGAAATAAGAAATTTTAAAGAAATAATCTATGATGTTTAATTAATATATGTTTAATTATTACATATTTACATGTTTAACATGTATTATCAAAATAAAAATTCTTTTTTCTTCATTTATTTGCATCCTTTTTGTTTTAATGTGTTGTAATGTATTTTCCTTGAGAGAATAAATCCATCGATTTGAGTACAGGATTGGCTTCTTCATATTATTAGGATTCATATCTCCAATCTGAGTTCATCTCAATGTCCAGTGTCTCGTCATCCAGCTTGTAATCTATCAAAAAGATTATATTATTTGATGCTTAGTACATTTTTGAAGCTCACATAAATATGAGCATACATATCATCATGAGGTCTTAAATTAAATAATTTTTTTTTATTTATATTATTTATTCTTTGATATATTGTTCATTATATTCGCATTAATTTAGTCCTAATTCCATCACGTTATATTCATTATAAGTATGAAATAGTAAATGTTCACTGCGATAATTTCTATGTTCAATTTTAATTTTTTAAAAATATTATGTATTGCAATTTATTAGTAATTAATAATTGATTAAGAATCTGTGGCAAATAATGACATATTATTGAGTTAATTCAAATATAATGTAACTAAAATAATTAAAATACTAAAAATATATAGATATAACGAAGAATACAACAGCCAATAATTTCTTTTATATATATGATATTTTTGTTATTTATTTTATTGATTTAAAAACATGTTAAAAAAATTAAAAGTTAAAAATTAAACCGATCAAAATTAATAGTAGAGAAACATAAGAAAAATAGAAAATTTATTGATATAGAATTTTCGAAACGAAATACGCGTTCGGAATAAAATAAGTTTGATTCGTGCCACGTATGACAACATATTATTGATATAAATAAAAAAAATAATCGATAATTTGTTAACAGATGGAATTAGAATTAACGCGTATTAAATGCTAAAAGCATTCGCCATCGCAGCATCTTCGCAACGGTATTATAATCGACGATTGCAGAAACATTTTTTTCGTAGTTTTTTTATTGTAAATTTTCAGCGTCGCAATAACCGATAATTGACACAATACGCGCAATAAGCGTATTATTCTATTTTCACTTTTTTTCATTATCATCATAATAAATTTTTTTTTCTTTTTTTTTCTTTTTTTTTTTTTTTTTTTTTGTTTGTCTTTAACG